ACCCGGGCCCTGTAGCAGCTGCATGGGCTGCTATGGCTATTGTTACGCCGCTGAAGGGATGGCCAGACCTCGCACTACAGCTACAGCTCATCCACACACGTTACAATGTCACAATCTCTGTACAACCGAAACTACGCAATACGGAGATCCACAACGGATGCATCCAATCAGAGCGGCTCTCCCACTACGAGACGTCCAATCAGAGGGGGGGGGGTGCAGACACATCTAAGGACTGGAAAGAAAAAAACAGTTGAAAAATTAAAGTGACTTAACTGATTTAAAGTTTTTTTTTAAAAACCACAAAAATATACTGAGAGTCCACTCCCCCCGCGTACACGCCACATACAAACACGAACACGCATCGCGCGAGCACATACAAACACATGACGTGAACAAAAGACGATTGCGCCGCACATGTTCCACGCCGCTGTGAGAGGAATCATTTCTGCGCCATCGTTATCTGTAAATTGATGAGCGGTTCAGGCTTCTGAAGCTCCGCCTCCGGGCATGTCTGGGTATCGCAATTAATCACCGTTTTGCGGGCGCACGCAGTTTTAAGGTTGGACGCGTTCGGCATCCATTTCCCCCGACGTGACCGCGTCTTTTATAACGTGACCGCGTCTTCTGTCCGCGAGCGTCAAATCTCATTTTCGTGTACTTTTTTCCCCTCAAACTATCGATTTGATAAACATTTGCGCGTCACAAAAAAAATCTCGCCCGCCGCCATTTTGTTCCCCGGCGTTCAGACGATGTCTGGCTGTTTGGGGGGTTTTCATCCGTTTCCTGGCCAAAAATGCCGATTTTTTATCATCAATGTAAGAACGCTCCAACCGGCAGTGAAGGGGTTAAGGGGCGGGGCCGAGACTTGTTACATTGTTTCCGGTTCGGATACGTTGTAACCATTTTCGGGATCGGCGGATCGTTCGCTCGTTCTCGTCCGGCTGCGCTGCGCCGAAAATGATCGGCGCCAAGAAGGTCCTGTACGGGTCCCAGGAAGGTTCTAGAAGTGTCATAAACACCCCCGCCCCCCCCGGGGCCCTTGGGGTCAGGTGACTCTATTTAGGGAGATGGTGTCGGCAGATCCCCCACCAACCCCGAGCTGAACCCAGAATCAAAGTAGCGCATTCTGATATTCAAGTCCTGATTACGAAGTTTAATTTCCAATGACAAAACTGACGCGTTTTGGGGACTGTAGCTCCGCCCCCTTCCACAGGGCTTGAAGAAAGGGGTTGTAGCTCCGCCCCTTCCCCAGGACTTGAAGAAAGGGACTGTAGCTCCGCCCCCCCTCCCCCGGGGCTTGAAGCGTCCTTCGGCGGTTGTTAAGTATCGGGCGCTAACTGAACTATAAATCATCGAGTCCATATACATTGTTTCAGCTTCTGATAAAAGGGGGGCGGAGCTGCGGCCACAAAACGCGTCGGCGTTGCAGATAATTCTGGAATAATCTGGTCTCTGGACTCTCCGATGTGTCACCCCCCACACAGACCGTCCTCCTCCTCCTCCTCCTGACAATGCCGGCCGCCTGGCTCTCATCCCGAGTCACCGGCTCCATTATACGGGATGCCCGGAGGTCACATGACCTTCTCAGTAACCCTTTATGTTCCGGTGTCCAGTCCGCTGACCTCCTTCTGTTTCCCAGGTTCGGCCCTCGCCACATCCGGGCGGAGTCCTCCATGGTCAGAAGGTACAACGTCTCCACCCGCTCCGCCCCCTACGACTCCATCATGGTGGCCGACATCGGCGACGTCAACGTCAACCTGTACGACCTGAAGGACAGCTGCCGGCGAATCAGAGAGGCCTACCAGAAAATCATGGCACTGACGACCTCCGGGGATCATCACACGTTACATTGTGCACTCCGGGGAGCAACGAGGACAGAAGGAAGGCAGGAACCATGCGGGGGGGCCCCGGGGGGGGACAACACCTCGTCATAGGATCTGTCTGGTCTCCGCCCCTTCCTGTAATAAAGACCGCCCACTGCTGCTCTCTTCTGGTGCAGGGTGACCGGTCTTGTCTCCGCCCCCTCCTGCAATAAAGACCGCCCACTGCTGCTCTCTCCTTGTGCAGGGTGACCGGTCTTGTCTCTGCCCCTCCTATAATAAAGATCGCTCACTGCCGCTCTCTCTCCTTGTGCAGGGTGACTGGTCTTGTCTCCGCCCCTCCTATAATAAAGACCGCTCACTGCTGCTCTCTCCTTGTGCAGGGTGACTGATCTTGTCTCCGCCCCTCCTATAATAAAGACCTGTCACTGCTGCTCTCTCCTTGTGCAGGGTGACTGATCTTGTCTCTGCCCCTCCTGTAATAAAGACCGGTCACTGCTGCTCTCTCTCCTTGTGCAGGGTGACTGGTCTTGTCTCCGCCCCTCCTATAATAAAGACCGCTCACTGCTGCTCTCTCTTCTTGTGCAGGGTGACTGGTCTTGTCTCCGCCCCCTCCTCTATTAATGTTCTTTATTTTCTTCATAGGAGGAGATCACACGATCACTTACCCCATTCTTCAGGCCGTAGCAGAGAAGTAAGTCGCGTCTGTTGCTTTTAATCAGCAATGTGTGTATATACAGTATATATTTGGGGGGGGGGGG